AAAGATGTGACCATCTGCTTCTGTAAAGATTTAAAACACAAAACCAAACCCACTGCCTTCAACTCGATTCCAACTCACAGTGCCCTTACACCTGCCCCTTTTGGTTTCTGAGACTTTAAATCTTTATGGAAGCAGAAAGCCTCCTCTTTCTCCTGGGGAGTGGCTGGAAGGTTCAAACTGCTGACCTTGTGGTTAGCAGCCCAATGCCTAACTCACAATGCTACAAGGGCTCCTTTTCTATCAAGATTACAGCCTCGGAAACCCTATGGGTCAGTTCTACTTTGTCCTGAGTGTTTCTATACATTGGACAGAGCTGACAGCACAGTGTGGGGCTTGATTTTGATACAATGTGCCAAGAAGGCAGAGGAGTTCAGTGGAAGTAGTCTCATGGTGTCTGAAGGAGACCTGGCTTTGATTTGCAGTCAAGGCATCTCAGGTGCAGTCAAGGCATCTCAGTGGAGTCTAATGTGTTGCTATGATGCTAAACATCTTTGAGTGAAGCTTCCAGACAACAGCGGAGTAGGAAGAAAGGTCTTGTGACTAATTTCTAAACATCAGCCCAGGTAAATCCTATGGGTCATTATGGTCTGATCTGCAACTGGTCTTGGGGCTGGCGCAGACTGGGGCACATTTCATTCTCTTGTGCATGGGCTCACCATCAGTTGGGGCTAACTTGACAGCTGATAATAGTAATAGCATTATGTGCTCAGTGCTGTGTTAGGTATCAGAGATATAAGGATAAACAAGGCAGGCCCAGTCTTGACCTCGTGGTTTCTATCTTTTAGGGGAAACTACATCTGCATTTCATCTGGGGAGAGTGGCAGACGAGCTTACCCATCCTCACCATCAACTCTCCATTGACGGTGGGACTTTTAGGCACATGATAATCATTGCAATGCTAGGCAACTGACTTGCCTATCCACTCTGATTCTCCTAGGATCCTTCAGCTTCATTTCGCCTCCTTTCTTAACCTGTCTCTTGATCCCTTCATGTCCTAGTGAGACCAATCTTCCTGAGTAGTTTCAATTCTTCTTATTTCTGTAACGAGTTGTAGTCTCAGAAACTCACCGGGCAGCTCTCCTCTGTCCTATAGGGTCATTGTAAGTCGGCACTGATTCGATGCCAGTAAGTTTGGCGTTGTTTTGGAGACAAATGTCTTTTTGCTTATTTTTGGTTTGTAGTGACACTGGGAAACTGTTCGGTATTTGGTCTGTGAAGACACTTTGATTCTACTGCCCAAAGCAATCTGCCGATGTAACGCAACCCAGATCCAGATTCTCTCATCATTCTCTCAAGAGAGGGAAGAGCGAATTGGCATTTTTATACAGAAAGGAAAGAGACTCAGGAGAAGCAGAGCACTCCGAAAGAAATGTGAAGGAGGCCTCACCCTTCCCAACCTTAAGCCTACTGGACAGTCAAGGCAGTTGAAATAGCTCGGTCCAAAGGTAAGGTGACCAGACGTCCCGCTTTTGGCAGGACAGTCCCGATTTTTGGTGTTTTTTTAAAAAGTCCCAATTTTTGGAAAGAATGTACGACAAGTTAGGAAACTGTCTATTTGGTCCATATAGACCAAATTTTTAATCAAG